TGTGAAGAGCCCAGGCCTGGGGGACACGTGTAGCTGGCACATGTCACTCCAGTCGGCCCCCGTTAGGCGACTCAATAACTGGAACCCTCCTGTCTTCCACATCTCCCTGCCAGGGACCCGCCGTCTCCCCTCGCACTCAGAGTGGGGTGATTGTTAGAAACTGGTAGGCCTGAGTGCTTTCCTACAAGGTGGCACACTTGGCACTGACTGAACAGCCCAGGCCTGGGGGACACGTGTAGCTGGCACATGTCACTCCAGTCGGCCCCCGTTAGGCGACTCAATAACTGGAACCCTCCTGTCTTCCACATCTCCCTGCCAGGGACCCGCCGTCTCCCCTCGCACTGTCAGAGTGGGGGTGAATGGGGTGGCAGTGGCTGAGGTGGGTGGGTACCTGAGGTGGCAGACTCACAGCGACACGCTCCTCTCCTGTTCCTTCAGACAGTCCTGAGCGCCAATGATCCCGAGCGGAACTTCTTCACCACAGCCATCCGCCCCCATAGCATCTTCGGCCCAAGGGACCCCCAGTTGGTCCCCATCCTTGTCGAGGCAGCGAGAAAGGGCAAGATGAAGTTCATAATTGGGTGAGTCGCCCATTGTTGTCTCCGGCCCTCCAGATCTGTGTAGCCCGCACGGGGATACTCTTCAGGGCCAAGTGGCTCTGTGTGCCTGTCCCAGTCTGTTCAGCTGCTACCCTGGAGGCCGCAAGTGCAAACTCCAGGTGTGGGCCAGGTTGGTGTGGAGGCCGTTTGGGTAAATGTGGTCAGTGCCTCCCTCCAGGCATCTGCTGGCTGCCATGGGCCTGCCTCGGTTTCTGCATCCCAACTGTCTTAGCGGGACATGTGCTGTGGGGCTGAAGGCTCAAGCTCTTACAGTATAGCCTCAGCTGCACACATCTTTCCACCCAAGGTCACCTTCACAAGTAACCCTGCTGCCCTCTCACGCCAGGAAAAACACATATGCACACTTCAGGTTTTCTTTTCCTGAAGTATGTATACATTTTTTGGCAGACTCTGCATTTCTGTCCTTATTTGGAAATTAAGGAAAGTGAAACGCAGAAGTAATCAGCCCAGACTGTTCATATCTAGAAGAAAAGTGTGTTGGATAGGAGGGTTACAGCCTTCCTTGAGGAACACACAGGTGACAACAGGGATGGCTGTCTTCCAGATGTGCCCTCTCTCTCCATTGTCTTTTGCTTTCTTCTTACCCTGTTCTTTCCTTCTCTTGTCCCCAGCCTCACCTTCCTTTCTTCCTAAGCCTCACTGCCACCCTGATCTGTCACTTTGAAAGACTGCAAAGAGACTGGCAGGAAACTGGCAAGAGCCAGGTGTCAGCCCCAGTGTATCCTGGGAAGGGGCTGAAGATCTGCTGCCCAAACTGGAGCAGGGGCAGGCTGGGCACCTAGCATTCAGAGTCATTGGTTGTCCCTTAAGTATTCCACCATCCCAGTGCCCCAGGTGTGCCCGGGGCAGGCCGTGCCAAGGCAGGCCACTGCTGTGCCATAGTAGCAGAGCCTCAAATGCTCAGGGCTCACTGAGCTTGCCGCTGGTCACGCAGCATGACTGAGCTGTCCCCTGTGCACCTGCAGAGATGGGAAGAACTTGGTGGACTTCACGTTCGTGGAGAACGTGGTCCATGGACACATCCTGGCCGCAGAGCACCTCTCCCGAGACACAGCCCTGAGCGGGAAGGTAAGGTGCCCACTCTCATGGCTTGACCCCACACTTCTTCCTGCCATCAGGTTTTCTGGCCCATTGCCCCTTCAGTCCTGCATTGTACACATCTGCCTTGGGACCACCTGGGCCGGGGCCGGGGCCGGGGCAGGGCCAAGGGTCCTGTTTTCTGGCCCATTGCCCCTTCAGTCCTGCATTGTACACATCTGCCTTGGGACCACCTGGGCCAGGGCCGGGGCAGGGCCAAGGGTCTTAGTTGGGAGGGCAGCCCTTCTCCTGCCCATTCCCGCATGGCCCACACCGGCCTCTCATCCTTCTGGTGAGAGGACATCCCCGAATCTCCTGGCATCTGGTGCCCCACAGGCAGGGTAGGACGGGTGGTGGTGGGGAGTGGCGGAGACCCAAGTGCCTGCCCGCGCTCCCAGGGCCCTCGTTTCTCCTTCCTTGTCTCGCACTTCTGTCTTAGGACCCTCTCCCCGTTGATCCTAGCCTTTTGCTCAACTCCTGCTGTTTTCCCACCTGTAACCTGGGTGGTGATTGGGAGTAGGGTGGGTCTTGCTTTGGATTTCCAACAAATAGAGCATTTGAGAAGATGATATGACTCCTCCTTGCACCCCAAGATGAGGTGAATCTCACCATGACTCGTGGGTATTAAATGAACAAATACACCTTCCCAGAGGCAGTCAAAGCACTGCTAAAGTGGGCAGCCTTTCCCCGGCCTGAGTCCTGCCTGAGTGCACAGCAGACCACCTCCCTGTTAGGGCACCTGCCCCGCTCAAGGGCCGGGGGGCTGCCTCTGAGTTCCCACCATACAAGTCACGGGCAGCTGACGCCTGCTTTTTGTTCCCTCACCAGGCATTGCACATCACCAACGACGAGCCCATCCCGTTCTGGACCTTCCTGTCCCGCATCCTGATAGGCCTCAATTACGAGCCGCCCAAGTACCACCTGCCCTACTTGGGTGGCCTACTACCTGGCCCTTCTGCTGTCCCTGCTGGTGGCGATGGTCAGTCCCCTCGTTCGAATCCAGCCCACTTTCACACCCATGCGGGTCGCACTGGCGGGCACATTCCACTACTACAGCTGTGAGAAAGCCAAGAAGCTGACGGGCTACCGGCCACTGGTCAGCATGGATGAGGCCTTGGAGAAGACCGTGCAGAGCTTCCACCACCTGCGGAAGGTCATGTGAGGCCCCCGAGACCGGACCAACATGTGCGCCCTGCCTGGTAACTCCCCGTGTGCTGACCAATGAGTGGCCTTCAGCCTGCAGCTCTTCCTGCGGGTTCAGTGAGAACACACCTGCCCCTCCATGACCACAGGATGACCACAGGCGCCTCTTCCTTCCCAGCTTGAGATTTGCATTCTTAAAGTGTGTAGCTTCATGTTCTATTGTTTTGTTTTCTGTCTCTTTCTCTCTCCATTCTCTGCCACTGTCTTTCTCTTTCTTCCTCCTCCTCCTCCTCCTTCTCCTCCTTCTCCTCCTCTCTCTCCTCTCTCTCACTGGTTTCTTATTATAACAACCACCCCCCCCAGAAGTCGCCCATTTCATTACTGTGGCCTTATATATAATTGAAGCTGTAGGAAAGAACAACTCATTACCGATATCCTAGAAGAAAAGCAGAAGTTGTAAACACATGTGAGACTTCAAATGTACATTTTACATCAACATAGTTTAGAGCCAAAAAAAATACAAGCAAAAAGTATAAATGACTAATTCCCCATCCCTGGGGGAAGAGAAGACCACTGGTTGTTGACCTTCCTAGTTCTTTAAAGGACTGTCATTTTGCCTGCCTGCATTGGTCTTTTATGAAACATTCCCCTTTATCACCAGAGTCCTGTTGTTAGTGGCAGTGGTGATCCAGTGCAGTGCTCAGTTTCTCTGACTCAAGGCATTGGCCGGTGGACCGCTGGGGAGAGAGAGTCCATGAGCTGATGCAGAAAGGGCAACATCCCTGCTGCTTGCACCTGTGAACTCCTGAAGGTCAACTTGCAAAGGGACGAGCACAACTAACTCTTCAGCCTTTTCTATTATCTGGTGATGTTTTGCTTCCAGAAACCAGCTTCTCTGACTAATTGAAATGTAATATTAAAGATTCCCATCATCTTCTTCCAAGGGGAGACTAGAATAAATGAAGGTCTACAAGCACGCTATTTGTGTCATTGCAGTGTTAGCTGTGGTGATGGGGCAGTGAAATATGAACAAATCAGACACCGCCTTTGCCTATAAGGCCCCTAGAACAGTGGAGTTCATGAGCCCCTGCCGTACCAGGCATGAATGATACAAAGACTAACTGGTGACGGGGCAGACGACACCATGAGCCAGTCCTTGAAGGATGAGAAACATGGTAGTCTACATGATGGACAATTTGCACATTGGAGGGCCGGAATCAAGAAGCTCCTTGGAGCAGGAGATTGGAGAGGTCCTAAAGGCCTTGGGAGGGGTGCAGCAGTGGGAGGAGGCAGCAGACTAGGCTGCCCTCAACTGTGCAGCTTCCTGAGGGAAATGCTAGCAGCCCTCTGGGCCGAGGGTATCCCCAGCTGCACTCTGGACTGTCCAACCCATTCCGCCACTGTGACAACACCAGTACCCCTTCCTCCCCTTTCCACTCACGTATTTCCTGGATACTGTGCTGTGCTGGGGTGGCAAGTCAGACCCAGCCCCTGCCTGACCGTGTGACACTCCCGGGCCACACAAACCAATCCATACCAGGCCACTGTTCAAGTTCCAAAAAGAGGTGCAGGGTGCTGTGGGCAGAGGTGGGGCTGTGGGGGAACCCAGCCAGGGAAACGTGGATCAGAGCCATACCTGAGCAAGTGGTACCCACGCAGACCTGAAAGCTGAGGCTCGCCAGGCAGGCTTGGCTCCTGGGCTGGCCGGGGGAATTCCCACTCTCCAGGAAGGCCTTGGCCACCCCTTGCATTTCCCTGTGTTTTACCCCAACCCATTTGGGGAGAGTACATCCACCAACAGTCTCCATGCCCCCCAGAGGTTCTCACTCAACTGACACGGGGCGAGTGGCACTCTGTCCACAGGCCCTGTGGAGGGGCGCAGACCACTGAAGTAGCTCCCTGGGTCACAGAGCCAGCTACAGCTTTCCCTCAGCCCCTGCCCACAGGCCCAGTTTCTGGGGCCAGCCCGACCTGATCCACTCCTGAAGGCTGAGGGCCCTGGATGACTTCCAGCACCTCTCCCACGTACCCCTTCCTGTCTGGAAAGTCAGCCAAGGGAAGGCAGCTCTCTCAGCTTGGGGGCAGCTAGAAGCCAGGTGCTGCGTGCCCCTCAGGGTGATCTGTTTCAGTCCCGCTTCCTTCCCCTCTGACACTGGATTCAGTTCAGCAACTAGGCCAGATGTACAGCAAGAGCCGGCTGATCTGTCACACACACACACACACACACACCCTGTCCCTCTGGCCCAGCCTCTGCACATCCCAGCTGTCCAGCCTAAAACAGATCTAGACCCTGTTTCTTCTCTGGAGATGCTGTGGCAGGTCCCTGCGTCCGCACTGCCCACCTTGCCAGCTTCCTCCCCACCCCAGCCGTTGTTTCCTGCTCATGCCCTGTCACACATACCCTTGCTCAGATTGTCCTGGCTGCCCCACTAAGGCCCTGGGTCCCTTTACCCCAAAGCTGGCCCAAACCTGACCTCTCTGGATTCCCCGCCAGTGGCCCTTGATGTCTACCTCATTTCCTGTGTCCCAGTTGCTGCTTTCTCTTTCTCTCATCCTTCCATTGGGCCAAGAGCCAACCAGTTTGTCCGGGGCCCAGAGTGGGTGCTCAGGAAACACAGGTAACTGTCTCCCTGGCTTGGAATCCTAGCATGAACTGCAGTGGCCACACATAGAAGATGGCCACAGGGTGGTGAAGGGAGCAGAGGTCCCAGACCAGCCCCTGTGAATTGGGCACAGCCTTTGGGTGTGTAGCTTTTGGTGGGAGAGGGCACATAGCTTTGCCCAGCACGTCAAAGAGGGCTGTGGCCTACTAAAACAGCCATCAGGCAGGGCCCAAGAGAGACAAGCCTGGGGGAGCAGTGAGCATCCCTGTCTCCAGGTGTTCCGGCACCTCTGTTTCACTGTGGGATCTGGGACTCTATCAGGAAAGGACTCGAGCCCATGTGCAGCCAGGCTCAGCCACAACAAATGCGGAGGTCGGTGTGCATGTCTGTCATCTTACAAGGACTCGGCTGCCTGCGCCTCGGAGCTTTGGGGCTTGCTACCTGAGGGCTGGCGCTGGTACAAAGCTCTCCCCTGTGCCATGAGGCTCCACTTACCCTCTCTCTGCAGGCCTCTGTGGGAGCCGTAGCCAAGCTGCCAGGATTTCCTACAAACCACTGAGCTCCTCCTGGCTCTCCATCCCTTACCTGCACCTGTGTCTATGGGACTACATGACCTTTAGGAGGAAAAAGCCAGCAGCTCCCACATTGGCCAGCTGGGGGAGCCCCAGAGAAAAGAAACCATGGCCAAGTGCCCTCAAGGGCAGTTAGCAGCATCAGTTCCTTTGGCTCGGGATTTTCCAGAGAACTCTAGAGTGACCTAGGAACAGGGAGAGGGCCAGGGTAGCCTGTCTCCTAGCAACTCTATTTACTCATTGGTTTATTTTTGAGATAGGGGCTCAACAAGTTTTGCCTAGCTGGCCTTGAACTCAAGATCCTTTTACCTCAGCCTCTCAAGTATCTGGAATCACAGGCATGGGCCACATGCCCAAGCCAACAGGGTGCAGAAGTGACCAAGATAGAGTCCTTGCCTTCAGAGAGTTCATAGTCCTGCAGAAGGAAAGAAATGCCAAAGTTAACCCAAGCGCCCCTTGTCTTAAGAGCGGGGATGAGTGAACTATGAACCTCGGCTCAAATACTGCTTGCTACCTGCTTTTTATTTAGTCTTGCATGCATATTACCTATGACTGCCTCTCTGCAACAATGGCAGAATTTAGTCTGCCCCTCAAAGCCTAAAATATTTACTATTTCACCCTTCACGGTAAGTTTGTCAGCTCCATTTTAAGAATGACTGATGGTCAGGTCTAGTGGCGCACACATATAATCCAGCTACTTAGGAGGTTGAGGCAGGAAGATTGCAAGTATGAGGCTAGCTTGGGGAACTTGGTGAGACCACATTCCCCCCAAAATTAAAACTAATTAATTTTACAAAAACAGACTGAGGATGTAGCTCAATATGAAGCCCTGGCTTCAGTCCCCAACCAAGAAAAATAAAAGTGACTGAGAAACTGAAAAGAATTTGAAAAGATGTTCCACATGACTAATCATTAAGTACAAATCATTATTGGCAAGGATGGGAAAGAAAGCTGCTGCTAAGAAAACTGTGGCTTTGCCCCCAGAGTTAAACATGGAATTAGGACGTGACCAGCAACCGTGCTGATTCGTTCCTATCCAAAATGATGGAAAGTAAGGACTCAAGATAGGTGCGCATCCACATTCATGGCAGCGTGGCCCACAGTAGCCCAAAGGTGGAAGCCAGCAGCTGAATACAATGTGGTGCATCCATAGCACGGGCTGTTATCCAGCCTCAGAAGGGAAGGGAGTTCTGGGATGAGTTATGACGGATGCAACTCTGAGGACATGATGTTTAGTGAAGGAAACCGGGGGCGAAAGGACCAATCCTTTGTGGTTCCATTTAGTCTACAGAGTCAGAGCAAAGGGGTAGGAAGCTTGTTTCTGACGGACATGGAGTTGCAGTGGAGGAGATGAAACGTGTTTTGTGGGTGCGTAGCAGGTGATGACAGCAATGTAAATGCACGGAATGCCACAGATCACACATTTAAAATGAGTGAAGATGCCGCCTTTGATGGCATCTGTATTTTACTACAATGTTTAAAAGTTTGTTTTTAAAATAGAATGGCTAACAAGGGGCCATGCATCCACAGAGGGAAGAGGGGTCCTAAAAGGAAGGGTGTTGGAGAAGGTGACCCCAAACCAGCTCTGGAAAGAATGGAATGGAGATGGAGGCGCCAAGTACCGTAGACACGGACCGACACGAGCAATATTGAAGAGGGTCGGATGATGCCGCTAAATCACATACAGCACAAATTTAAGTTTTTGAAGAAAATTTAAAAAGAAGAGGAAGACTGGCTGCCAGCCACCACAGGGCTGTGCCTGGAGACGGTCACCCCCGAAGAGCAGTCTGGTGACCCTTGTGCTTGGACAACAGGGGAAGTGCAAGGAGAG